AAGGAAGGAAGAAGGAAGGAAGGAAGGAAGGAAGGAAGGAAGGAAGGAAGGAAGGAAGGAAGGAAGGAAGGAAGGAAGAAGGAAGGAAGGAAGGAAACCAGTGTATCGCTTATACTGGATGCTCACTGCAGAAGGACAGGCACCACTAGGTAAGATCTAGGTAAATTATCCCCACTGATCATAGTGAATTCTCTTTTCCTGCCAAATGTATGCAACTGTGGACGTGTCTGGGGCCTTAACCGGCTGTCATTTCAAGGTGCAAGATCACATTGGGACCCTGGTGAGGGAGCATTTTAACGATGACTTCGAGATGGTGATGAGGGACCCCATCCTGTTTGGGGACTTCCGGACGGCTCTGCATGAGGATGAACCACGGATTTACGAAGACATCCAGGATTACGAGGCCGCCAAGGCACTGTTTGAGGTGCGGACTGCCAACCTCCAGCTCTGTCCATGCACACCCAGCGTTTGGGGTGTGTTCTGTGGCCCTAGCAGCCTCTTTTGTCTGTAATGGGCTGTGGCTCACACAAGCAGGCTGACACCCAGCAGACCAGAGATTTACTTTATTTTTAGTTATGTATGTAGTGTGTGTGTGTGTATGTGTGTGTGTGTGTGTGTGAAATGAAAGTGCACACATGCATGCATGCTCACATGTAAGTATAGGTGCCCACACAGGCCAAAAGAAGGCACCAGTCTCCCTAGAACCGGAGTTACAGGCATTTGTGAGCCATCTGATTGAGCGCTAGGGACTGTACTTGGGTCCTGGAAAGAGCAACATCTCCCTGCTGAGCCAGCTCTCCTGCCCCACGCCCAGCCGACTGCAATCTTGAGATCAGGAAATTAGGTCTTCAGCCCCACAGGTCCTAATATTCAGATTGCTTCCTCAGCCATGGATGCTGAGGACAAAGACAGCTCTCTCCATCCTTCATCTTTCCTTTTTTTAGACAGGATATCTCTGTGTAGTTTTGGTGCCTGTCCTGGAACTCACTCTGGAGACCAGGCTGGCCTCGAACTCACAGAGATCCGCCTGCCTCTGCCTCCTGAGTGAGGCGAAGGAGAGAGCCTACCCCTTCACATGCGGTGGGGCTTACGGATCCTTCCCACTCAGGAAATCCTCGAGGAGTACAACGAAATCAACACCAAGATGAACCTGGTCCTGTTTGACGACGCGCTGGAGCATCTGACCCGCGTACACCGCATCATTCGAATGGACCGGGGCCATGCCCTGCTGGTGGGCGTGGGTGGCTCCGGGAAGCAGTCCTTGGCCAGGCTGGCGGCCTTCACCGCAGGCTACGAGGTGAGGGGGAGCCTGTTTATAAAGAGTTGGGAGTATGACCTTCTGTTTTTGTCCCGTCCACGGCTTGAGAACTCAACCTCAAAAGTCAGACCCAGCCCACACCTGTGAATTGGGAATTGTGGGAACACAGAGGGGGCTTGGCCAAACCTGGGAGGAGCCGAGGGTGGCATTGCTGGCTGTCACACCTGCAGCTTATAACTTGCTGGGACTCCAGCTCCAGGGGATCCAGCGCCCTCCTGTGGTCTCTCCAGTGCCCTCCTGTGGTTCACTTACAAGCCCAAGCGCATAAACAGAAATCAATATAAACCTTTTAGGAAAGATAAAACTGCTTTATAGAGCTATGAATCAAGATGGTACAGTTTATCCCTTTAAGTGTGCACACGGTGCTTTTGGTCTAGTCGCTGATCTGCGTGACATCACCAGCCTTTGCTATTGCAGGTACCCTTCTCTCCCTCCAGTGACACCTGGGTGGCCAAGTCCCTTCCTTGTCTTCCTTTCTCCAGACACACGCTCCTCATAGGAGCAAGCACCTTTTATACTCACACCTTGACACATGCGTGCAGCTCACGCAGGACACTTGTCAATCATCCGGCTCCCATGCTTGTGCCCCTCAGGTGATGGTAATGTTGTGGAGCATGCAGACCCGCATGCTCTCCTGATGCGCTCAGCACCTTCCCCCTGCCTCAGCGGGCACCGCCTACCTGTTTCCCCAGGTGTTTGAGATCCTGTTGAGCCGAGGCTACTCGGAGAATAACTTCCGGGATGATCTGAAGAACCTGTACATGAAGCTGGGCCTGGAGAACAAGATGATGATCTTCCTGTTTACGGACGCGCATGTGGCCGAGGAGGGCTTCCTGGAACTCATCAACAACATGCTGACCTCAGGTACTGCCCACCCACTGGCAGGAATGTCCAGCCCTAACCCCACTCCCCACCCCCCTACAGTCTGAGATAGACCTGGCAGTCTTTGTGGTCACACAAGACCCTGCAGTTGAGGCTGGGGCATCACTGAGCGCTCCTCTTCTCCTGGAGATGTATAGGTTACTTTCCTCCTGTGATGTGGATGAGGATGGTCCCTGAGCTTGAAGCCATGTATGTCTCAGCTCTGTGAGACACTGTGAGCTTATCCCACAGTGGCCACGGCACACCTTGGGTTTTGCAAGGAATGCGATGCTCATGACCTCTGTTGTCCTTGAAGCTCAGAGATGTGCAGGGGAGGGGTGGGCACCAAAGCACACAAAAAGACACACAGATTGCAACAGCAATAGTGATGTAAGGGAAGGAGGCTCACGACACAGCACCGGGAAGCTGGTGTGTCTCTTTCCTGTGGTCCCTCACTGACCTGCCCAAAGGCGAGTTCACTCCAGCATCCCGGTGGGTCCGCAGGGCTCCCGGAGGCGACACCAAGGTGCAAACAGGTCCAAGATGTACAAACTCATCCTTTCCGGCTTGCAGAGGCTGCCCTGGCCCAGGGCTCCTTGGCTCACACCACCCTACCCTCCGCTTCTCTTCCGATGACCCGACCTCTGCTCTTCACCCTTTCCTGGGACAACACCAGCCTGCCTGGGTCCTCCACCCAGTCCCAGCCGCAAAGCGTTGTCCCATTTGGCAGGGAGCATAAGGAAACATGCTTGTAGGTCCTAGGTGGGGTCTGGTGTCTTTGAGGGGCCATCATTCATGCTCCCACATTGGGTAGAGGGGCTGCTAGAAAAATGTTATATGCAGGGAGTCCCCTGTGCTGAAGGGAAGAGACATCAAGGTAAGCAGGCGTATGGTTATCTCGTGGACAGGATTCAGGAGTGGCGGTGTGGGTGGGGGGGGCGGTGTGGCTCTGTGGTAGAGTGCTTGACCAGCATGTGTGAGGCCCTGGGATCAATCCCCACTACCAGGGGTAAACACACACCCATACTGGGCATAGCAGTGCATGTGTGTATTCCCAGCACCCAGGAGCCTGAGGCAGGAATGCTGATTTGTGTACAGCTTGTGGCCCAGACCCTGGACTAGGGGTGATAAACGAATGGAGAAAGGACTGACACACAGAAAGAATCTGGAATCGGGTGGTCTGGGCTTTCCTTGATGGAGAAGCCACGGCACCCCGGAAGCTCGGAGTGTCTTGCTGAACATGGAGGCAGGGTTGTTAATACAGATAAACATGGAGGCGGGATTGAGGTGTACAGCTGGGTCAAGGAGGCAGGCTTAGCTACTAGTCTCCTCAGGGGAGCAGTCTCCGGGCTGTAAACATCCGTGTGGAGAGAACTATTGTTGACTTGTTCTGCCCACTGTCAACATCCGTCCTCAGACCAGAGGAAGGCCTTGCCACCCCCGTGGGGCTGAGGCCTTGGTCCTTGGCATGGCCATGGCCATATCAAACAATACACATTGACCCAGGACTTCCTGCTCCCTACAGAGGAGGGTCAGAAGTCCAAGGTCATCCTCAGCTACCTAACAGGTTCAAGGCTAGCCTGGGCTACATGAGACCCCGATTTAAAAACAAAAAGGAGTAGAGGGACACTGGGATGCAAGGCCTTGTGGGCCATTTAAAGACGGGACTCTATTCTCGCTGCCTGGACACAGTCTGAGTGCTTTCTGGATGCCCTTCTGGCCACCTGTGGGGTCTGCCTCAGAGTCGAGGGTAGTGCCTTTCGAGGGTGAGCAGGTTTGGCCCCAACGGGAACCCCTTGTCTCAAGTGTCTCACCATCTGAAGGCACGGACGCTCACAGTCACCCACAGTCACCCAGACCCTGGCCACATACAGTCCTTGCCCGAAGCCTTGGTGGCACTGGGGGCCTGTGCGACTGTCCTGGGCCGTGCAGGATTTGACATTGTGTAACTGACTGGTCCCGCTGGACGCTGGACCATCCCTGATCTAATTTCATCTCTGTTGCTGTGACAAATGCCCTGAGCACAAAGTGCCTTACGGGAGGGGAGGCTCATTTGGGTTATGAGTCCACGTTAAAGCGCCTTTTATTAGGGAAAGTCACAGCTGTAGGAGCTTGAGGTCACATCACATCCAAAGTCAATGGCAGGGAGAAACAAATGTACCCACGCTGCCTGCTTCCAGCTCTCTCCTACCTGAAGAGTCAAGGACCCTCTGTCTAGGGAATGGTGTTGCCCATGATGGGCTGAGTCATCCTAACATTAATTAACAGACTAACCTGATAAAGACAATTACGCGATTGAGACTCTCTTCCCAGGTAATTTGACATTGTGGCAAGCTGGCATTTAAAACTAAGCAGCTCACTCCCCTCAAGTTATGACCATGCAAATTGTCATTAGATGTTGTCAAATGTTTCCTGGGAGGTAAATCCCCATGGCGAGAATCCCTGCTGTGAGAGGCACATGTACATGAGCTTGGGTGCCCAGCATAATCCTCAGAGACCACTTTGATCTTAGGCTAGTGGGTGTGTGTTGAGCCTGGACCCTAGCCCTGGTCTTCTGCTGGCACCTGCTGCTCTTCCCATCATGCCTTGCTCCATCACCTCCCTTTGCACCCAGGGAGGTCAGAACTCAGTGACCTGAAAGCCGGCTCCCTCCACATCCTTGTCCTCCAGGGATTGTCCCTGCACTCTTCCCTGAAGAGGAAAAGGACGGCATCCTCAGTCAGATTCAGCAGGAAGCCTTGAAGTTCGGCATGGGCCCAGCCAAGGAGTCTGTGTGGCAGTATTTCGTGAAAAAGAGTGCCAACAACCTACACATTGTCCTGGGCATGTCGCCAGTGGGAGACACCCTGAGGACCCGGTGCAGGAATTTCCCAGGTACCTTTGAGCCAAGGCTAGAAATCCTTCACCACTGCTGCAGCATATCGTGTGCTCTGGGGACCTGCCACATCCATCAGCTACATCCATACAGGATAGAGTGCTTGAGTTGAAGGTTGTCCCTGAACTGTAGGCACACTTCCTGGTCCCTCTCAATCCCCAGTAGGCATGGCTGGTGTCTTCCCAGCATGAGGGTGGGCACAGGCTCCCCAGCTGCAGGGTACATGGTGTGGGGAGGGTGCCCTTCTTCTCTCTCCCAGTGTCACAGTGACAAGATACTGAGACATAATCACACTTGGATGTGCCCAACTGAACCACCACTCTGGTGGATACTGAAGACCATGCATGTGTGCTGGAATAACTCTGGGTTGCACAGTGATCCTCTTTTGCCTCTCTCTTCAAGGTCTCGTGAACAACACTGGTATCGACTGGTTCATGCCCTGGCCATCCCAGGCCCTACATGCAGTTGCCAAGTCATTTTTAGGTAAGCTGCCACTGTTGCAGGGACAGCTTTGTGGTCTCATCAAGAAGTGTGTCACCTTTCTGACCAAATTTTGACCCAGAAGATTCCTTCACCATAGATACCTTATGACAAAGAATAGCTTTGTATTGTTAGTGTGGCTTGGGTTTATATTTTGCTCTAGTCCAAAAGGATCAGGAGTCTGCAAGGCATGGCCTGCTGCCAAATGTGGCCCCCTGATTGTTTTGATGAATAAAGTTTTATTGGTGCCCACTTTATGAACATTTGTCTTTGGCCCCTCTTATGCCACAGCTACATGGTCACATCCTTACCCATTAGAGACAGTGTTCAGTTCTTTGTAGAAAAAAAAATGTACTAAAGGCCACTACCATGTTGGTGCCAGGATGATTTTTCTTTTTGTCTAGATTTAACTTTAAAGGATTTATGACCAATGTCATTGGCTGGCTTTGTAAATAGTTCCAACTTTACAAATATGCACCCAACAAACTCAATAAACAAACATCCCTTCTTCACAAGCCAAAACCATAATTTCAGTTACAATGCTGTTCTCCTGGGAAGGAAGCCAAGAAAAATCTGTTATGGGGTTGTGATTTAGAGTCTTCACAGAGGCTGCCTCTGTGATAGTCCAGGTGGCAATATCTGCTTCTGTCATAGCTGCTGAATTCTGACAATGTGCTTTGAGAGCCATCCTGGACCACATGTAAATGTTTCCAAATGTTACAATAAAACTTTATTCACAAAAAAACAAGTGGTGGGCTGTAGAGACCCACAGAGTTTCCTAGTGAGAACTTACTCAGTGTCCAAGAATCTGAGCTTGTTTTACCCAGCAAGGCTGCATAAGGGGATGATTTTGACCACGAGCATGGTTACCAGGTGTTTGGAAGGGGCTACACTTGGCTGTGCAGTGTGCTTTGATCTAGCAAGGGGGAGATCTTTTGCCCCGCCCTTTGGCATTGTTATAAAAAGCCCTTTTGAAGAGGCAGAAGGGGCCATTGGGTATTGGCCCAGGTCCTCCCTAAGCTATCCTGTGTTTCTGTCTTTCTTCTCTTCATTGTCTTTCTATCTAAAAGTTTCTTATCCCTCTCTCCTCCTCATAGGAGCCCTGGAAAAGGTGGGAGCTGGCCTCCCACAGTGGGCCACATGCCCTGTGGGGCTGTGGCTGCCAGCCTCGCTGTGGCCATGCATGCTAGCTTCCATGGTGTGCAGGTCATTCCCACACCTTTCTAGCATGCAGTATTTCGGTTCTGTGCACAAAGCTGCCTGAAATCCATTTACAGTTCTCTCCCCTTAGAACATATTTCCTGAAGTTGAGGTGACCATGTTGCAAAGCTAGATGCCTGTGGGCCGAGTTTTTCAGGCATGCTGCGTGTAGTCTGAATTAAAGACAGATCTAGCCGGGCGGTGGTTGCGCACGCCTTTAATCCCAGCACTCGGGAGGCAGAGGCAGGCGGATCTCTGTGAGTTCGAGGCCAGCCTGGGCTACCAAGTGAGCTCCAGGAAAGGCGCAAAGCTACGCAGAGAAACCCTGTCTCTAAAAAACCAAAAAATAAAAAAATAAATAAAGACAGATCTGCAGAACCTGGACATACCAATGGTTTGGGTCCAGTTTCCTTCTCTCATACCACGCTTGAGGCTGTTGCATCCCAGGCCATCAGGTGATCCAAGTGACAAGATCTTGGCTCCGGGAGAGAGCACCCATCATTCCATTACAGAATGGCTGAGTGCACCCACCAGCCGCCGTGGGTAGGGGCTTCATGATAGTCAGGGGTTGGTTGTGGGCCCTACTCCTGAAGCCCCAGCTTCTCCCAATGGTGCCTGAGCCCTGGGGAAAGGCAGGGGGTCGGTTTCCCAGGGCAGGAGGGTTGGCCTCTGTGTTAGAGAAATCACCGTGGGCAGATCACAGGTCCCGAAAGTTGCCACAAGTAATAGCTGCTCATTTCCTCTCTTTAATTAAATTTTTGATGAAGTCACCTTTTATTTAGGGAAAATATGTCTACTGTGAACTGTCCTGTTCTGTCCATCTTGAGTGTACTTGAAAGATCAGTTACATTCACAGTGTCATGTAATGCTCTCTGTTTCCAGAACCTTCCATCATCCTAAACTGAAGTTCTGTACCCATCTTCCCTCCCCTGGTATGGGGGACCAGCTCCTACCTTTATCTGGCTACTCTTGAGGAGAGAGGCATAGGAGATTTAGATAGAAGGATAGAGAGAGAAACAGAAACAGAGGATAGCCGCAGGAGGGCCTGGATCCTTATCCACTGGCCCAGAACTTTATTCAAAAGGGCTATTTAGAACAATGCCAAGGGGCCAGGCAAAAGACCTCCCCCTTGTTAGATACAGCCAAGTGCAGACCCTTCCAAACACCTGGTACCCAGGCCCGTGGTCCAATCATCCTCTTATGCAGCCCTGCTGGTAATGCAAGCTCAGATCTCACTAGGAAACCTCTGTGGGCTCCCACACCCTGGAGGCCTCCTCGAACCTGCTTCCCGACTCTGTGAATCTTCCCTGTCTATGTGTCTCATGTAAGGGGACCCATGCACATTGCTTCTTTGTGTCCAGTTTCTTTCTTTTTGTATAGTGTTTTTGGAGGGTCAGGAATGGTGTAGCCCATATCAGCCCTTTGGTCCTATTCATGGCTGAATAGTACTCCACTGTGCGGGCGTGCCGCATTGTTACCATCCACCTCAGATGGGCCCTGGTCCTTTCTCCTTACTATTCTGCTACTGAGAACATTGGTATTCACGGGCCTGTTGAGGGCTGGGTATCTGGTTCTTTGGGGCACATACATAGGAATGGAGTTCTTGGATCTTTGGGTCAGTGTTTCATTTTGGGGGGACCTGGTGGGTTTTTTTGTTTGTTTGTTTTCTGCAGTGCTGGTTCCTGTCCCCAAAGCCCCACAGGCTAGGGAGGTGCTCACCACTGAGCTGCCCCCAGTTCCCTTTTCCCTGTTGCTCACCTCCACTCTCTCCCTTCCTGCCTAGGGGATAACCCCATGATCCCCATGGAGAATATCGAGGACCTGGTGGAGCACGTGGTGATGGTCCACCAGTCGGTGGGCGAGTTCAGCAAGCAGTTCCAGCAGAAGCTAAGGCGCAGCAACTACGTGACGCCCAAGAACTACCTCGACTTCATCAATACGTACTCGAAACTGCTGGACGAGAAAACCCAGAACAACATAGGTGAGCAGGGGTGGAGCGGGGCGGGGGGGGGAGGGGAGGTAGGGGTGGCACAAGGGTAGGCCGGGCCATCGCTGTGTGGGCAGGGTTCGGGAGCAAGGCTCCTCTCTGCAAGGCTTGGCACCCTTATGATTGGGGCAGAATAGAGCAGATTTGAGCTTTGCATCTGGGGGATGGTTCGTCCCTGCGGGTAAGACACGGCCCGTTCTTAGTTCTGTGTGGCCCTGGGTTTGCAGGGCTGGTTTCTTTGCCCTGGATGTCCCCTGGTCCCCAGTGTGTTCTGTCAGAAAGGGCTTTTCAGGAAGGGCTGTCTTTGGCAGCTGGTTAAGAGATGCACCGTTAGCCAGGCAGTGGTGGCACACGCCTTTAATCCCAGCACTCGGGAAGCAGAGGCAGGCAGATCTCTGAGTTTGAAGTCAGCCTGGTGGTTTACAGAGTGAGTTCCAGTGCAGCCAGAGCTACACAGAGAGACCCTGTCTCAAAAACAAAACAAAAATAGACACACTGTTTTTAGGAGTCCCTTCACGCTAGCAAATGGCACACATGCAGTCTGGGGGCTAGAATGGGTATAGCAGCATCTTGTAGAAGTGAGCTTTTTTCCTCATCTTGGATGGGTCCCTGTTGGGGTACACAGAGGTTTCCTAGTGAGATCTGAGCTTGCTTTACACAGCGGGGCTGCATAAGGGGATGGATAGATCACGTGCATGGTCACCAGGTATCTGGGATGGTCTGCACTTGGCTGTGCTGGGGGGAGGTCTTTTGCTCCACCCCTTGGCATTCCTTTAAAAGCCCTTTAGTAGAGACAGAAGGGGCTGGTGGGTTTGGACCCAGGCTCTCTCGAGGCTATCCTATGTTTCTGTCTCTCTCTCCTATATTTCTATCCCTGCTCGAGTACCCTGGGGGGCAAAAGTGGGGGCAGGTCCCCCACAGGTCCCAAGAAAGCTAATGCAAGGTCCTACCCTGGAGCCTGGACCACTGACCATGCGCATTGTGCCCCCAGCGCAGTGCAAGCGTCTAGAGGGTGGGCTGGACAAGCTGAAGGAGGCCACCATCCAGCTAGATGAGCTCAACCAGAAGCTGGCAGAGCAGAAGATCGTCCTGGCTGAGAAGTCAGCTGCCTGCGAGACCCTGCTGTCAGAAATCGCCACCAACACAGCCATAGGTGAGTGCCTGGTGTGGGCCACCTGCCCTGGGGACCAGTCTGCCCCTGAGGGGTCGGGGCTCCTCCAAGGTTTTGCTAAGAGACCATTGTGCTGTGGGCAACCATTAGCAAGCCTTAAGACACAGACCCGCCATCATCAAAGGACACCCACCCTGAGTGTCTCCACCATATCTGTTTGTTTAATTTCTAAATATTCTGTTATTTTCAGTGGCTTTTTTGCCTACTCATAGGGGGCAACCAGACAGAATGTGGGCCAGTGACAAAGTGAAGTCAAGCTGTGAGCAGTGTCGCCAGGCAGGGAGGAGGGGGGGTGGGGTGGGAAGGAAGGAAGACAGAGGGGCTGTACTTCCTAGATGGGGCATCTCTGAGGCTGGACCTGAGTGAGCACTTAAAAAAAAAAAAATGTGTGCGGATAACGGATTTCCAGGTACCTGCCTGGAAGGAATTCTTCCAGGGTCAGGAAGAGACACTACCAAGCGGCGAAGAAATTAATCTGAGGGACAGCAAATGAACCGAGTCGTGCTGAGTTCTTTAGTCCATTCACTTTATTCTTCTAAGTCAACTCTATCTACACAGCTTCTTTTCCGTTCTCATACTTAGCTCCTCTCTGTCTCTTCTTCTGCTGTTATCTCATTGTTCTATCTTAGTTCTTCCTCTCTTTCTCCACCCTCCCCCCAAGCATCTATATGTCCATTCATTAACAACTTGTTAGCAAAAACTACAAAGTCAACTCTCGGGGACAAGTATTCTGATAAGAGTCACACTTGGCAAAGACTTGGACAGCTTCATTGATGATTGACAGCAGCTGTAGGTTGTAAAGTTCTGGCCCATCTCTTAAAGGGATAGCCACAAGGGTTACCAGGGAAGAAATTAGACAATGAGAGATTTAAGGAACAGGTAAAGAATACGTGTACTATTTTATGTGATTAGTAATATCCAGACATGGTTAGTCAGTTAACAGTCTTTTCTGTTCATCACCTGAATCTCAGGACCTTTACATAGTCTACTGAGCCTAAAATCTTGCATTAAAAACTAGTGTAGTAATAAATACAGAGTGTTAATGGTTATTTGAAGCAGAGTGGGGAGGGGCTGGGGGAGGAAGCTTAAGGCAACATAGGTGCTGTTGATCTCTTGAAGGACTGAGATATACCAAGGCCAGACATCTGCACTATCACTTCTGGTTCGCTATAATTCTTCTGAAGGGTTTTGATCCAACAAGGCCAGGCACCTGCAATTCCGCTCTGTGAATTGAAGTTCTATGAAGACACTTCTCCGGCCAATTTTGCCTTGTCAATGGCTAAGGATGGAGAACAAGACCTCTAGGTGTCTACAGCCCACATGGAACAATAGCTCTTGTTATGAAGCCTATTTTAATATGTTTCTAGTCATAAAAATGGTACAGTTAAACAAGAAACCATCTTCTTGACCATCCACAACCATGTTTGCCCATAAGATTGAGATGTAATTGTTGAGATTACATGTACACACTAACATGGAAATGCACAGTAAAAGGGGAGATACCACAGCTGTTTATTGCACAAGAGGTTGACAAGAGACAGCCAGTTCATTCAAAAGGCAGTAATTCCATAACGCCTTGCATGATGGTTTCCTCTAACAGAACCCTTGGTTCTGATAGGTTGACCTTCTGAACACTGGTTGTCACCTGCTGTATACTCCCATGGTCTTTTGCTACCAGCGGCTCTCAATATGTGGGCGGGAAGGGTTGAGACACGGAGGTTGGGGTGAGAGATGGAGGGCGAGAGAAAAGCCAGGGCCAGTGAGGTGGCTGAGCGGGAAGGGTGTTTGCTTCCAATCCTGACGACCTGAGCTTGCTCCTGGGATCCACAGAAGGAGAGAACGGACTCTGTGGCGCGTGAGCACAAATAAATCGAAGGTTATAGAAAGATTTTTTTTTTAAAGACACAGAGAGAGAGGACAGTGAGTTGGGGGGAAAACAGATTCATCTCAATCATCCAAAGTCACAAAAAAAAAAAAAAAAACCAGGGTCCTTGGCCAGCAGTGTCTAGGCAGGTGGGGCTGACACGGAACCCAGAGGGTAGCACACAGCAGGAAATGCCAGCCAGAGTCCTCTCTGTGTGAGCACCCGTGGCCATCGCATTGACCAGAGCCCCCTGGCCACTCCCCCCAATGACCGTGGCTGGCTTTGAGGTTTCCCACGCGGCTCAGGTGCCCCCCCCCCCCCCCCGCGGCATCCTGGCATCTTCTCACTGGCCCCTCCCCCTGCAGCGGAGGAGAAGAAGAAGCTGGCGGAGGAGAAGGCCATGGAGATAGAAGAACAGAACAAGATTATCGCGGTAGAGAAGACCGAGGCCGAGACAGCGCTGGCTGAGGTCATGCCCATCCTGGAGGCTGCCAAGCTGGAGCTGCAGAAGCTGGACAAGTCGGATGTGACTGAGATCAGGTACCAGCTACCACCTTTGCTCACACCTGCACTCCTAAAGCTCACTCAGGGGCTGCCATGTGCTCACCCCCTATTCATACATAGTAAAGAGAGCCCCCCACCCCACCCCAGAGGCCAGGCAATCCCACCTAGGGAGTTCAGGCTCCACCAGGAGGACAGTTGTGAGTCACCATGTGGGTGCCGGGAACCAAACCCAGGTCCTATGAAAGAGTGGACTGTGTTCTGAACCACTGAGCCATCTAGCCCCAAGCCAGAGAGTTTTAATATAGGATCAAGGCAACCGGCTTTACAAGGTTCTGACTGTAGAATCCGGGTCTCGAGAGTGAGGGCTGCCGGTACATCCTGTGGCATCTGTCTGCATCCTTTCTGCTTGGCATTGTGTTCTGCATGTTTTTATAATCGGAAATTCATTTATTTCATGTCCAAGTATGTGTGCCTGCTGTGACGCCCATGTGGACGTCAGAGGACAGTTTTCCAAAGTGGTTTTTCTCCTTTATCTGTGGACCCTGGGGACTGAACTCGGGTCATCAGCCTCGGTGGCGAGGGTCTTTACTGGCTGAGCCATTTGACCCACCCAATTTTTAAAGTGTCATTTTGTGTTTGCGCTCTAATACAGGACGGACTTCCTTAGTGTTTTAAACTGGCTGGAGGCATCCCACAATGTGGGTGCGCTGCTTTATTCAGTGGGCGCCCCTGCTGTATCCTTTCTTGCATCTCCTCTTTTGACCTTACAAAGGACACAGCAAACAAACCCGGCCACACTTCACTGTGCACTCTGGCACCACCCCCCCTGCAGGATACATGGCCAGAGGTGGAATGTCCGGGTCCCAGGGTGCACAGTGGACGGTCCGTCCGTCGTCCCCCCGCCCCCCGCCCCAAGTCCACATCTGTACCTATTTCTTCATAGTTACGCCAGAGAGGATGCCCCAGGTGTCTGCATGTTTTGCCTCTCTTCTAGCGGAGAAGGGGTCTGTGTGTGGCTTCCACTTAATTTATGTTTCTCTCGTTAGAGGTGGCCCTTGGCATATGTGCTTTAAAAAAAAAAAAGACAAGAACGTGGCTTTCCTTCTTTCTGTATTGCCTTTTGTTTTTCCATAACTGCCCCCTGACGTGTGTGTGTGTGTGTGTGTGTGTGTGTGTGTGTGTGTGTGTGTGTGTGTGTTTTCTGCTAGGGAATAAACCCCAAGGTCTCACCCAAACATGCTAGGCAAGTACTCCATCACTCCCAGCCATCCAAAGACTTTATATAAAATGGAGCTTTTCTTTATGTCCATAAAGGGAATTGTAGGTATCTTCTGAATTTGTCACTGGGCGTTTGACTTTGTGGGTGAGATTTGTATGTGTGTTTGGTTTTCTCACTAATGCTTTGGTGTATGTGGCATTGTTTAGGACCGTTTAGACCATAACATGGGTAAAATGCCACTGTGAGACCTAAATTAACATCCCCAAGGTGGCAGCTTGTACTTTTAAATATTTTTTTCTTTTTTATATTTAAATCTTTTGTCAGTGTCTACGGTATTTTCCTCTGAGTCCAGTGTGCATCTGGATCCTAACCCCGCAACAGTCTGGCTTTGATGGGTCATTTCAGTTTGAAACATGATGAGCGGTCATAGCCGGACAGTCTCATAGTCTTTAATTCCTTAAAATGTCTTTCTAGAATATTCAATCCCCTCTGTGGGAACCCTTAAGTGTAAATCAGAAGGTGCTGGGTAACAAAAAGGTACATGTGTTCGCTTCTCCCTTGAGAGGAAACAGCAGCCCCCATTTGCAACTAACTTGTGATGCTGAGGTGGTCCCTGGAGACTGTCTCCTGGACAACCGGGTTCTTGTCCCATCCTCCTCCAGGAATGGAGTGGGCTGATAGTGAAGGGGGACCAATGGACGATACTTTATCGTAAGTCAGAGTTAACAAATAGACTGCCATTTGGGATTTAAATGAGATGAGTTTGAACCCAGCCCAGATTTATAGAATGCCAACAAGAAAAAAAAAAGAGCTAATCAGGGAAGAGGACCTAAACCTGGTGGCGTCGGAGGGGAGAACACCGGGTCACCAAAACTGGCTAAGAGGTCACTATCAGGGTCCGTCTCTGCAGATGTTAACTTTAGTTTCCGTGGTCCCTGCAGGCGAGGTCACTATGTGAAACCCCACATGTCCATTTCTCTACCTTGTAACCTCTGTGACAAAGGTCACCACTTCACAATAAGAGCACCAGACTCCACGTAGTGAAAGCAGTTTATTTCATGCCCCGGTAAAGCAGTGTGGCAGGCATACTGTGGGAGCACAGAGAAGTCTTCACAGCCCCTACGCCTGGCCCGCCCTCCCTGTCCTCACTGGCTGAGTAACCTGGAGGAGGGTCAGTCTTACATGTCATCTAGAATTGCCCACATTTGCCTTTTACTCAGTGAACCTGGGCATGGGTTCATCCCTATGTTTTGTTTTAAAGCTTTTCAGGTGCACGACCTTGGGACATCTGTAGGTCACCGGGCAAGTTTAGCTGTTAATTCTCTATTCTAGCCTGGGCGAGCGAGCGGGTAGCTTAGAGTCTGGGTGTGGGTGGGAACGTCTGCAGTGATCCATGAGGCAGGGTTCAGTGATCCATGAGGCAGGGTTCAGTACTTCCTGTTCATCTGTTTTGACCTGAGCTGGTTGGAGGCACTTTTAAAAACCAACTATCAGCCGGGCGGTGGTGGCGCACGCCTTTAATCCCAGCACTTGGGAGGCAGAGGCAGGCGG